AGCGAGGGACCACGAAGGACGCGAGCGAGCGGCGGCCACGAAGGCCATACATAACGGGCACGTTATGTGGGCCACGTTATATGGGCCAGGAAGGGCGGCAGCGGGGCCACTGAGGGCAGCGACGGGGCCACGAAGGGCAGCGAGGGGGCCACAAAAAGCAGGGCGACGAAGGGCAGCAACGGGGCCACGAAGGGCATGCGTATGGGGCCACGACGGACGCGAACGAGCGTGGGCCACGAAGGGCATTCGCATATGGGACCGCAGAGGGCAAGGACGGGACCACGAAGGGCAGCGAGGGGGCCACGAAGGGCGACAGCGGGGCCACGAAGGGCATGCGCACGGGGCCACGACGGGCACGAACGAGCGGGGGCCACGAAGGACATTCGTATACGGGGCCACAAAGGGCGACAGCGGGGCCACTGAGGGCAGAAGAAGGACCACGAAGGGCAGCGAGGGGGCCACGAAGGGCACGAAGGGCATGAAATGTGGGGCCACAGAGGGCAGCGACGGGGCCGCTGAGGGCAGCACCGGGGCCACGAAGGGCAGCAAGGGGGCCACAAAGGGCGACAGCGGGGCCACGAAGGGCATGCGTATGGGGCCACGACGGGCGCGAGCGAGCGGGGGCCACGAAGGCCATTTGTTTACGGGGCCACAAAGGGCGACAGCGGGGCCACTGAGGGCAGCAAAGGGGCCACGAAGGGCAGCGAGGGGGCCACGAAGGGCGACAGCGGGGCTACGAAGGTCATGCGTACGGGGCCACGACGGGCGCGTGCAAGCGGGTGCCACGAAGGGCATACAATGCGGGGCCACAAAGGGCAGTGACGGGGCCACTGAGGGCAGCAACGGGGCCACGAAGGGCAGCGAGCGAATGCGACCGCGGAACCAGTACGGGCAGTGAGGGGCATCGAAGGCGGGCGAAGGAAGGGCAGCGAGCGGCGACTGCAGTCCTTACGGGCTGGTCGGGCGGGCAAGCCCCGACGGGCGGGTCGAGCGGGCGGGCCGTTGAAGCGTGAGTCCTGCTTCAAACGCCAGGTAATATGTAGCGGGAGCGCGATTCCAAAGTGTCGAGGAACGGCATCTGAATAAATTGTGTAGAAGTATCCAGCGGGAGCCGCAATTCGGTGGTAAGTCGCGAGGACGTCCGTGAGGAAGTATCAGGCGGGAGCCGCGATTCGGTTGTAAATTGCCAGGAAGTCCACAGCGAGAGCGCGATTCTTAAATAAATTGTAAGGAAGTATCAAGCGGGAACCGCTGTTGTTGCAAACCGGGGGCCAACAATATAGTTTGACCCTCAAGATTTTCACTGGTAAAGAATACGGTGCGAGCGCCGGGAGGGGCACTTCAATCGAAAAATACCATGTGCACCGGGCGAGGGGGATCAACACTAATTATTCTTCAGGAATGAGAAAGTTCAGCAACTACAACAGCAACAGCAACAGTAACAATCAACAACAACATCACCACTAACAACAACGACGACGACGACCACCACAACATTAGCAACAAGAGCAGCACCAACACTAGTTTTAATATTATTCGCTCTTATCTGCTCGCGTGCCATCCAATACGTGTATTCCAATCCTCGATACCCACCCTTTCCGTCGTCGATCGTACCCCCCTGCGGTTTATATTTTTCTTACCTGCAACGTGCATTTCGTGCAGCCCCTAAGGCAGGGGAAGAGAGGACGGATGGAAGGAAGGGACAAGGGAAAGGGAGGAGGATGGAGCACGAGAAGGAATAGCGGGAGAAGGGCTAGGAGCAGAAATTACGTGGTAGAAACAGACGGGCCCATCGGGCGGGTAGACCCTGACGGTCGGGTTGGGAAGGCGGGCCCAGGCGGCCAAGTCGAGTAGGCAGGTTGCTGAAGCATGCGTCCTGCATGAATCGTGTGGAAAACTCGAGAGACACCGCGATCCCCAAAAAAGTCGTTAGGACATCCATAGTGAGAGCGTGATTCCTGAAGGTCGAGGGCGCGGCGTCTGAATGAACTGCGAGGAAGTCCCACGCGAGAGCGCGATTCTACATACATTGTGAGGACGTCCCGCGCGAGAGCGCGATTTGAGAATACACGGTGCGGAAGTAGTAGGCGGAAGCCGCTGTTGCTGTAAACGGGGAGTCCACAGCTTAGGTTGCTGACACCGCGCGTTCCCTTGCAAAGAACAGAGTGCGGGCCCTGGGAGAAACCCTTTAACTCAACAAATAAAATGGTTTCTGGGGAGGGAGGATCAACAACAATCATCCTTTAGAAGTGTCAGCTCAGCAACAACATCAACAACAACAACGACGACGAAGAAGACGACGACAACGACCACGACAACAACACCAGCATAAACAACAACAGTAACAACGACACCACCAACAACAACAACCACCACAAGAAAAACAAACACAACAAACTTAAATCCGCATCATAACCTCGCTTCAGCCACGCGCCCAGAGACAATGAATGACAATCCGCTCCCCTCACTCTGATTATGAATGCCGTTGTCTCTCCTCCGTTTTTCTTCGTTTGTTTCTCTCTCTCTCTATCTCTATGTCTGTCTGCCTGCCTGTCTGCCTAGGTGTGTCAGTCAGTCTGTCTGTCTGTCTGTCTGTCTGTCTGTCTGTCTGTCTTGTCTGTCTCTTTCTCTCTCTCTCTCTCTCTGTTTGGACATTCGCCTGCTGTTCAACCACACTGGGTGGTTCTGTTATGACCTACTCAGAACTAGTTAGCCCCCTTATCCCCATTACACTCCTACTCCTCATCCTCATTATTCTTCGTATCCTCCTCCTCCGCCTCCTCGCCTCCTCCTCCTCCTCGCTCAATCGCTCCCCCCAGAAATCTGCCACCGCCTCCTCTTTTGACGCCCGAGATGGGGACGGAATCAGTGGGGATGACGGCCAACAGCGAATGCTGCCCAAAACCGAGAGGGCCGCTCATGGGCAAGCAGCGTTCGCCACCAATGAACCATGCCCGCGGCGACACCGACAGCAAATCCTGCTCAACGTGCAAAGAAGCGGGCTGTCGGTGTCCCACCCGACTGATTTCCGTCTCCGCCTCGGCCCTCCTCATCCTCGCACATCCCCCCTTCTGCCCGCCTCTCTTCCCTGCCTTCCGCTCTCCTCCCCCCCCAACGCTCCTCCCTTCGCTCCCTCTCCCTTTCTCTTTTCTCTCAAGCTCCCCCTCCTTTCCCGCTCCCTTCCCCCTCTCCCCCCGCGTCCCCCACCTCCCCTCCTCCCCGGGGGGGGGGGCAACAAGACACCGACGCCGCTGCTCCCCAGACCTCTCTTCCTCCTGTTCCTCCTCCTCCTCCATTTCCTCGTCCTCCTCCTCCTCCATTTCCTCCTCCTCCTCCTCATCCTCCTCCTTCTCCTCCTCCTCCGCCCGAACCCGACGGGCCGGCTGCTGGGAGGAAGGGGCCCCCGGACCTCTCCCGGGGCTGCTCTTCGACCGGGACCCCCGAGGCGCACCCCACCGTGGCGGCGAGGCTGATGTCGGGCCCGTCCCCCTTGCAGGGGGACTTTGGACGAAAAAGAAAGAAGATTCGAAAAATGATCACAATATGCAAAAAATACGGGAAAAATAGTCCCCATACTATTTTCTGATTATTCTTTGAATATCCCCCCTGGGCACGAAAGAATATTACAGTCTGGACGCCCGAGGTGGCACGGAAAGAATGGGTACAATGCCCAGCAGCAGTTCCTGTCCACTCTGAGCAGGACTCGCTGTCCGCGCAGCCGCGGCCTGTGTCCGTTCCAGACAGCAGACCGCTTGCCCAACAGCGGCCGCGGTTGGTTTGGGACAACATTTGCTGTTGGGCATTGTACCCATTCTTTCCGTGCCCATTTTGGGCGTCCAAATACAGGGGGATTTTGGACGAAAAATAAAAAAGTTGTAAACATGCTCAAAATATGCCCAAACATACTCGAAAAATAATCCCCATACGATTTTTTGACTAAGTTTGGATCTTCCCCGTGTAGTGGGACAGGCCCGACTTATGACGAGGCACGGGCGGCGGCTCTGGCGCGTCCCCCCCGCTTCGGCGGCTTCGCGATGAGATCCTGAAGGACGGGGTCCCGCGGACGGACTCCTTGCGGCGGGTTGGTGAAAGGTGTGCTCCCTGCTCCCGCTTGCGGAAGTTGGAGCGTGCGCCGCTCGTCTCTCGCTGCTTTGTGTGGCCCGTCGTTGCTGCTTGCTGTTTGATCGACGCGCTCGCACCGCGGTGCTGCCCCGTTGTTCTTGATCGCTATGACGCCCTGCCCACGGACGAGGTGCCTCAAACAATGTAGCCCTGAAGGGCCTTTAGAACCCCCCCAAAAATAAAAAACCGGAAGAAACCAACTGCATGCACATGAATTGTCGACGGTCCGAGCGGACTTCTTGGATCTTTGCTGGGTCCCCCTGGCGGCGCCTCCGGCGCCGCCCCTGGCGCGCGGAGCGCGCCAGGGACGGGGGTCCAGCGCAGATCCAAGAAATCCGCGCGGAGCGCCAACAGTTCATGTTTATGCAGTGCTTTCTTCTTTCAACGGGGTCCCATGGACGAGGCGCCTCAAACAATTTAAATCTACGCTTGGAGCCCTCCCTGACCTACAGTCGGATCTGGGACTGGGGAGCACCCCTCAAAAACATGAGACCCTCCGCCCGCCGAAACTGAAGAACACTCGAGGGTGCCATCCCCCAGGAGGCACGAGAACATCCAAAAGACAAGAAGAACATGAGGGGATCCTCCCCGAACCTGCCTGGATCTTATACCCCGGCCCGACTGTATCCTTGGGACCCCATCTCTCAGGACCCCATCTTGGAACCACCGACTCACGTCGCAAAAAACTGCAACATCGCAAACTAATCACGCCCGGAGCCTTATAGACCCCATCTTTCCGAGTCTTGTTTCCACCCGGATCGGTCTCCGACAGTCCCGGGGCCCGAAATGGAACGACGACGTCCAGCTCGAAACAGATGGCACGCCAAGATCTCGGGGCCCCTCCGCGGCGGGCCAGCGGCCCCCCGGAGCGCCAAGGCGCCACGACGCCGGACACGTGCCGGCCGCGCGCCGCTGCAAGGCGCGCGCGCCGCTCAGGGCGGCGCGTGGGCGCTGCCGGGAGCGAGCTGGCGGGCCGCGGGCGGCTGTGCGAGGCTCCTCGGCGACCTCGGCGAGGCGGCCCCGCGGCCGACGGGCGACACCTGCCAAGGATCAATATTAATCTGAATGTTCCTCCTCCTCCTCCTCCTCCTCGTCCTCCTCCTCCTCCTCGTCCTCCTCCTCCTCGTCCTACTCCTCCTCGTCCTCCTCCTCGTCCTCCTCCTCCTCCTCCTCATCTTCCTCCTCCTCCTCCTCCTCCTCCTCCTCATCTTCCTCAACCTTCTCCTCCTCATCAACATCCTCATCATCTTCCTCCTCCTCCTCTCCTCCTCCTCCCTTCTTCCCCCTCCCTCCTCTCTCCTCCTCCCCCTCCCCCGCCTGCCTCATCCCTCCTCCCTCCTCCCTCCTTCCTCTCCCCCTATCCTCCTTCCTCCCTCCTCCCTCCTCCTCATCCAGCCTCCCGCCTCCTTATCCGACCTCTCTCCTCCCTCCACCGTCTGTTATCCTCCCTCCTACCTCATCCCTCCCCCTCCTCCTCCTCCTCCTCCTCCTCCTCCTCCTCTCCTCCTCATCTCCTCCTCCACCTCTCCTCCTCCTCCCTCCTCCTCCTCCTCCGCCGCCTCCTCCTCCTGCTCCTTCCTCCCTCCTTCCTCCTCCATCCTGCCTCCTGCTTCCTCATTCGTCCCCTTCTCCTCTTTCTCTTCCTCCTCCTCATTATCAGCCTCCGCGCTTCCTCCTCCTCCTCTTCCTCCTCCTCCTCCTCTTCCTCCTCGTCCTCCTCTTCCTCCTCCTCCTCCTCTCTTCTCCTTCTCTCCTCCTCCTCCTCCTCCTCTCCTCTCCCTACTCCTCCTCTCTTTCATTCCTCCTCCACATCGTCCTTTTCTCCTCTCCTCCTCCTCCCCTTCCCTCCTCCTCCTCTCCACCTCGTCCTCCTCCTCCTGCTCCTCCCCCTCCTCCTTCTCCTCCTCCTCCTTCTCCTCTCTTTCATTCCTCCTCCACATCGTCCTTTTCTCCTCCGCGTCTTCCTCCTTCGCCTCATCCTCCTCCTCTTCCTCCTCGTCCTCCTCGTCATCATTCCTCCTCCTCCTCCTTCGCCTCCTCCTCCGCCTCCACCTCCTCCTTCTCCACCTCCTCTTCCTCCTCCCCGCCCCTCCTCCTCCTCCTCTTCCTCTTCCTCCTCCCCCTCCTCCTCCTCATCCCTCATTCCTCCTTCCTCCTCCTCCTCCTCCTCTTCCTCCTCCTCCTCCTCCTCCATTCCGTTTCCTTCTAGACAATTCCTCCCTGTCGCACCCCGAAGCAAGTTGTTAGGGCGGGCCGAGCGTTTCGCCTGAGACTTCCTTACCACGTATGCCTATGAAGCTTACAACGTTGCAACAACTTCACAGATGGAGGGCGGGTCGGTTTTCAAATGTAACTCTCGCCTCAACGCTGGGCAATTTCGTTTTAAACATTCGCCAGGGCTTCACGAATTCAGGGCGGTTCCCTTTTTCTCACTGTGGCTCTCGCCTTAGCGCCGCGCACTTTCGTTTTAAACATTTGCAACTGTTTCACGGACTGACGGCGGGTTGATTTCAAAATGTGGCTCTCGCCTTAGCGCCGCGCACACTGTGTTAAAACAGATGCAAGAGCTTCGCGGGTTGAGGGCGGCTTGTTTTCAAAATGTGGTTCTCGCCTTAGCGACGCGCACATTCGTTTTAAACAGTTGCAAGAGCTTCACCGATTGAGGGCGGTTCCTTTTCAAAGTGTGGCTCTCGCCTTAACGCCGCGCACACTCTTTTTTCTAACAAATGCAATAGCTCCACTGATTGAGGGCGGCTCCTTTTCAAAATGTGGCTCTCGCCTGAACGCCGCGCATACTCGTTTTTCGAAACAACAAATGCAAGATTTTCACCGACTCCCATGATCAGGGTACCAGAAATGGTGCTTTGGAAAGATTCAGGACTATGCGGGCGCAACAGTTGTGTTGATACGCTGTGCTGAAGTCCCAAAAATGGCGTTCTGACACGATTTCTGGATCGCCAAGGCGCAGCAGTCAAGTTGATACGGGGCGTTGCAATCCCGAGAACAATGTCTTGGCACGCTTCAGGATATTCAAACTCTTTTCTTCCAGCGAGGCAGTTTCAATGGAAACGAACCGTTGTAGGGGCCTGGGAAGAGGGAGCTCGGAGGGAGGATTAATTCCAACATCGTTGATGACTCTTTTATAATTATGTGTATGCACATAAACGGCGCGACAGACAAAACAACGCTGCTTTGCTACTTAATGTGAAAATCGGTCGGGGCATTGCCCCGAGCGGTGCTGCGAGCACCTCGACTCGAGCGTGCACTCACTGCAAACCCCATTTAGACACAGAGAACACCCTCAAGAGGTTCCGCAACTGACTCCGGAAACGGGCGCAGCTCTTCGAAACTGAATGAAAAGCATGGCAGGCCTTACTGGGGCTAGTTCCAAGCCGCCTGCACGGCAGGGTGGCGCCTGCAGTGGACTTTAATCCGGCCTTCAAACATCTGCTGAACACTGACACGGGATCCTTTCCGAATAGCATTGTGGGCAAAACAGAAGCCGTTACATGTGCGCACATCGAATATCCGCTTCTTCACGGAAGCGGGGGGTCGGGAAAAGAAGGTCAGACAACCAATCATGTCCGTGATCAGGTGCTTCCTGGCGAACCCATGGATCAATCGTCTCCCGCATCCGCGGGCAAACCGCATAGCGCTTTAAGTTGTCAGCGTCCCCACTCACAAGACAGCCAAACATACAGTTGCGAGCCGCAGACCTAACCCGGGGTGAAGTGCACATCCCTCGGCAGGCAATCCGAATAAGCGCCACAGCAAAGCACGGGCTGACCTCCCCACGAACCATTTGAAGCCGCCACAGGGCATTTGGGAGCCCATCGGGGTCAACCACTGGGAGCCACTTCTCAATGCGGGCACTAAGGATTTCAATGGCCGAACGACCAGGCCTCGGGCACCACCTCTCAAAATAATCATATAACTTACGTTGAACAGCCTTGCGCACGACCGTCGGCGGGAGGGACAGGAGAAAAGGGAGCAGACTTCCGTGGGCAACCAACGCGTTGTAAACAGTCGCATGCTTCCACCAGCCTCCGAGACGACGCACCAGGATACACCCATCCGAAGCAGGAGTGGCGCGTACTTCCCCCAGCGTCGCACGGAACTCAGCGCAGCGGTGGGCGCAATGGGCACGGGCGGCGATACTAGCGCGCGGCAAATGACGCAGCTCAGCCCCGCCCCCAACACACTGTCAATCCCTCCAACAATCCACGCGGCATTGCATTCCACGGCCCTTGCGTCAGTAACTGAGCACACCGTGCATGTGCAGCGAGGAGTGCCGAGGATAGCGCATAAAACTGCAGCGCGTACTGCAAAAGAGAAAGGCAAAGTACATGAAAGGTGCGAAGAGCAACCGGCACTCCCAAACCAGCACGTATCACCACAAGAATTATGTTGAGGAGTTTCGGTAAAATCTCACCCCAGGCATGCGACCCCCCTTCCGGCCCAATCAACACCCCAAGGTATTTGGTAAAACGGGCAATAATCAGATCAGCAAATCTGGCCCCGAGCGAACTAACAAGATCACCACGGACGTCAGCCAGAAACGAGTTGCCAACAATCAAAAGCACATACTTGGCCATGTTTAGGTTTTGCCCAACTGGGCCATCCAGGTTAACCGACGGCTTCCAAATCGGAGCAAGTCCACCCGCCGCTTTCGGGTGCAAAAATAAGATCGCCACAATAAGCCAGGAGGTAGTCAATGCGTTGGCTCCCACGATGTAGCAGCCAGCGTAAGATGGGAGCAGTCGCAAGCGCGAAAAAGGCACATACTAACTGGGCCGCCCTGCCTGACTCTCCTCCCGACGTCAATTGAGATATCGAGGATCTTCCCACCCAATAATGGTTGCATGGCTGTCTGCGTAGAAGGCAGACACAACAGGCGCAGATCGAGTCATGAGTGCCCGTTGCTGCCAACGCAGCGAGAACCAATGCAATGTGGATAGACGGGAACGCAGCAGAACAACCCGTCGGCAACAGTACACTGCGCGGTGCACCTCCCATGCGTTTGGACACCCCCCTCGGGGGAACAAAAAAAAACATCCACACTCGCAATGTTGGAAAAGATATGTCCCCCCCCCCCCGTCGGCCATCGCGCGCCGTCGCAGCAGCCACTCGATCAAGCGGGGCACAGAACGCTAGAGATCGAATATTGGCGTCCGAATCAAACAGCGCAAGCGGCCGCGGTTCGTCGGGGGCCCTGGACACCGAATGGGCACGACCGTCGGGGCAGGGCCCATCGGGGGGGGAAGAAGAGCAGCATCTCGCGCATGTTACTGGGGAAGAACCTACTCCGATTCTCGTAAAGTTCCTCATGCATGTCACGCAGAAGTTCGCGGCCCCCGTCAACTTGCCAGGCAGCATGCGGCAAGCCACCCCTCTCGGGGGCCGCGCTCCTCCTCCGCCGAACCCTCTCCATTAACATCCCGGGGTCAATCTTCCATTCCATATCCCTAAATTAATCGCGGCCCTTGCGACGGCGGCAGAAGCTGATCAGCCCGGGCCGCGTCGCGCGGTCAACGGGGGCCTCTCGCAAAGACGTCGGCCCAATGACGCGCGAGACAGCGCCCCCCCCCCCCCCCCCCTCAGCACTAGCGCAGACTGTGCCGTCGGAGTCGCGGACGCCTTTCAAAAACACGCGGCAGTGGAATCGCTGCCAGAGTTTACTGCGTCGAAGCTTGTTCTGCGACCTGCTCGCCTCCTCCCTGTCCTGCGGCACCTGGGAAATAGCCTCCTCCTCCAGCTCCTGTTCCTGGGCCTGGATATGCTCTGCCTGCAGTTGCCCCGCATGCTGGCGCAGCTCGGCAAGGCGCGCGCGTGCCATGCCTTCCACGTCGGACTAACCCTCCAGGTCAGCATCAACTGCGAAGGCTCGCACGCACAGACGGAACTGCCGATGTCGGACACCGCGCATCGCGTGCCTAATCCAATTGCGCGTCTCGAGAGGGCCACCTGCAGGCCCGCCGCGAATGGCCCGACGAATTTCAAGGACGGCAGCCCAGGCGCGCTCCTTAGCAGGCTGCGCGCG